CCATTGCAAGCTAGAAACTGACTTTAATACATTCTTAGGACAAAGAAAACCTACTTTGCTACTAAAACACCTATCTAACGCTTCAAAAGATTTGTATGTTGAACAGGACCTGTGAAACACTTTCCTGAAATATTAAACTTAAGCGACGTCAAATGCTATACAACACATAAGTGATTTTGATCTCCGATCACTGGTGCCAACAATAAAAATAATATCAACAGTCAGGTTACGACCGTCACGCTCAACATCTACCATAGAACTTGCCAGAACAGACAAACCTTCCTCTAAAGCTGATACGGTCAATTTCAAGGAAGGATCAACAAAAAGTTTTCCTGATAAATGCGAAGCAACGAACTTAGGTATATCTGAGTAACCTGTAAACGTTTTGCCAGTTAAGTGGGAAACCAGACTTAGAGTATCCTGAATTTTAAAAAGTCTAAGGAAAGCAACAAAAGCACGACTCAGACTAGCAGTATACTTAGAAAGAAACTCCATAGTTAAACTAACCTGAGATCAGGCGTCTTTTTTTTTTTTTTTTTTTTTACTTCTTTGGCTCGAGAGGGAAAAAAAATAACGCCTGATACATTTATTTAACAAGCAGTCAACCGCCCCCTAATTTACATAATCTAACGTTTGCTTGACCTGTCATGTTTTAGCCAATAAGCGTTTACCAAACGGGAATCAAATTTTGGCGCGAATAATGTCTCTTTTGAAATTTTTAAGTACGTCCGTGTTCAGATGGCGCTTCTTAAAAAAAAAAAAATTAATGTGTTGTTTTTGTGATGAAATATACTGCTAGCTGGAGCTGTCGTACCTTTATGAATAGCTACAAATAATAAAGAATTTACTGGTTAAAGCTCGTTGACTTCTTTCTGTACCGAAAGCAGTGGAAAAAAAATTAGGCTGAAGCACCATATTTCACGAACTAAAAGATGTTGTGAAAGCGAAGATCGCTCAGAATAATTCGCAGCATGATTTCTGAAGGAGGAAATACAGTCAAACCAGGTCAAGATTCCATTCATGAATTGATTATTTGAAAAGTGAACCCGTTTGTCGCTTCTGTAACTTGTAGCCGGTATCAAATTGCATTCAAATGATCGGTGAAGTTTTGACTGCAACTGTTTTGGTATACGATGAGATGGTAAATATTTCAATGGATGAAACTTCTATTTAGGCATTCTTCAAATTCAAGAAAACTGAGCGGGCAGAAATTTCATAACGAACTCGCGTGTGTATTCACTGCTTATTACGCAAGCAAAAATGCAGACTGAAATCAACAACAACTAACGGATGGCGTCATTTTGGCCAATCGGAACAGCGCAAATCATCCGCATTGTTTCCTATCCAGTCAGAAAAAGGTCCAGATTCTGGCATTTTTACATGTGATCCGACAAAGAAATGTATCATCCCCTCTTCCCGTGAGAGACATAAAGGGATAATAGGGAGAGGGCATGATCTCAGGCTATAGTTAAACCCTCGTGACACCTAACCGTACTAGCAAATCTTTTAATCTACACTGCTTCACTAATGACTGTCCCTGATGCAGTAACATGTGCGACTCAAAGCCTCCTGTTCTCGTTTTTGTGGAAAAAATAAGAAAGATAAAATTAAACGAAATGTTGAATGCCAGCCACTTGAAAATGTTGGCGTTAACTTTTTTTTGGAATTATGGTAAAATCTTTGCGACTGGCCTGGATAGCTAGACTGATTAGCAACTCTGATGATAATTGGAAGGCAATACCGAATTTGTTTTTTGATAAAGATGGCGGTCTGCCCTTCCTTCTTAAGTGCAACTACAATACTATAACTCTTGACAACAATCTACCTTTATTTTACCATGAGTTATTACATTATTTCCAAGAATTAACGAAATTCTCAGAATATGATAAAAACAATGACCTCATTCTCTGGAATAACAGGAGAATTACAATAGAAAGGAATAGTGTCTTCTGGAAACAATGGTTTGATCAGGTTGTTACTTTCATTAGCGATTTAATGAACTCAAATGGTAAATTTCTAACCTTCGAAGAATTTCAAAATAAATTTAAAATTAAAGCTAACTATTTCACTGTTTTCAATTAATTGCTGCCATTCCTCCAGATTTGAAGCGAAAGGCATTTGGTTCTGATCTGCTTGGAGCAACTTCAGAGTACTTTCAAATAGAAGATAGAACAATAGTCTTGCTCATCGAGAAACTTGTTTCAGAACCCTCCGCAGTAAGGGCTTGGAAAAAAGCTTTTCAGGACTTCCTGTTTGGGGTGATTGTTTTGTGAATATATACAAGTCCTCAAAAGATAATAAGCTTAGACAATTATGCATAGAATAATCACAACAAAGGAAGAACTACTGAACTATAAATTAGCCTCGGATGATAAATGTCCTTTCTGCCTTAATCCAGATTCAACTGAACACACCTTTTTATATTGTCAATAGTCAAGGGAATTCTTTTCCAAAACTTTAAGGTGGTTTAATGAATATTATAAAGAGAACGTACAACTTTCGAACAAGCAAATTTTATTTAACACGTTTGATGACTCCCTTCCATTGCAAATGCCAATTTCAACTCAAAGCAAACTTCGTCTATTGGTTTTACTGCAAAAGAAATGCTTGTATACTTGCAAGAACATTGTAACGAAACCTAATTTAGAGGAATTTTTACGTAAGCTTTTTGAACAATATTGCATTGAAAATTGTGACAAACAATGTTGAATATGTGTGCCGACTAACAGGTTTTATTATTATTATTATTATTATTATTTTTATTTTCCAATACTCTTTACTTTTATTGTAATTTGTTTTGTTACTTACTGACATATTTATTTACTTATTTATTCTTTTACTTTTTGCTGTGTATTAATGTTGTTAATTTGTTGTCAATAAAAATAAAAATAAAATCTTTTAAGTTGCGTCTGCCAAACAGAAAAGGTATCGTCAACAATTTTCAAATCTTGAGGCAAAACCTCCAATTTACTGCCTATCTGGTCAGTAATTTTGAACAAATACACCACTTTTTCATTAATTATGCGCATCATGCTCTGTGAAATAGACATAGCGTGGCTCAGAGTTCTTAAGGTGGCCGGTTGCAGTGTAAATTGCCCGAAAAAGACCTCATTGTCTGTGATGTCATTATCTCAATGATCATGTCCATCTTCCTTACTGTGCTCATCTTCATAATCTGAATCAGAATCTGATTCACTTTCTTTGTCATCACTATCCCTGGATGGTGAGATAACTGGACACACAGGTATTGTAATCACATTTCTGAATTGGCCGCTATGGAACTGAACAGTGCACCTGATACAATGTCATTTCAATCATACTTCAGGTCCGCTTCTTCATTTCATCTTATAAGGTAACAAGCAGGCGTGAATGGAATATCTGCATGCTCTTTTAGCTACGGCTAGATAATGTCTACTGGTATTTGTATAAACTATCAACTATAAAACTACTGTATGTAAACTACTACTAGCAAATGTTTTCTATCCTATTGTTGAGACCTGGAGAAGCTTGCTAGGCTTTGTAAGGAGAGGACCAAGACTCTGTTCTTTCTCCTAAAGATAACAGTTTAATCCTCTACAGCTAGTGACAACAACCCTACTCATTCTGCTAGCTAACGCAGCAGATTAAATAGCCAAATTGTAGACTTATAGTTGGTTAGCTGACCGGGAGAGCTTATATTGAATATCTTATGGCATATATTGCAACAGGTTTGCCATTGTTAGATCAGCCTACACAGCCGCAACCGATAAGTACCAAAGAACCAGTTAAATGGTTACAGTGAAACTGCCCGGAAGGACCAAGCGTACAAAACAGTAACTCGATTGTGGGCAAAAGTCAAGGTCAGCTGTACTCCCCAAACAAGCCTACTTCCAAGGACCAAAACTAAGCTTAACAAACACTTCAAATGGACAATGCTAGACAAAAACTCAGGAACTAACCATATGGGGAAATACATTGAATCTCCTCATACTATTAAATTTTTATCATAAAGCTAGCAAAACCCTTAAAATAGCAAAACTGAAAAAGGAAACTAAAGGCAGCTACCTCATAAGATTTCTCCCTAGACTGAGTGTCGTTTTCGATGCAGATGGGAGAAAAACAGATATACTATTTTGGGAATTATTTCAATTAAGTACTATAAGGGAAAATGTCTCAAAAAGGGAGAGAAAAGAGTTTATATCTCTCCTGCTGCCATTTCTCTGGTGTGAGTATGCGTCACGATATAGTTGTAAGTGCTTTCTGGAAACATTGCTACGCACTGGCAAGTGTGCATGGTCTTCAGAAAGTCTGTGTTCTTCAAGATGGTCACATCGCAAAACAGTCCAGACAAATACGGTGGAACCATTCATTTCAAAACAGAAAATACAAATCCACTTTGCCGTGTGGTGGATACGTTGCCAATCAAGATCAATAATACCTATAAGTACAAAGACATCTAATGTCTAGAGGTAAATTGTTCTAAAGGTTAGGCGCTGAGGCAACGAAAGCACGGTCGCCGAGGGTTGTTAACGTTTTCAAATTCAGATGAGACAGCAGCATTCTGTCATTAGATCGCAGCCTGTATCTTAAGTGTAAAGGCTTAATTTTGACAAGATCGTTGATATAAGACGGTGCTAATTCATGAATGGCTTTGGAAGTTAAAGGTAAAATCTTAAAATTTATACGAAATGAGACAGGAAGCCAATGCAGCTGATGGAGCACTGGGGTAATATGGCAAAATTTGCCCTGCATAACGACAAGTCTGATGGCTGTGTTTTAAACTCTATGCAACTTGTCAATATGGCACTTGGGCACACCATATAATAGACTACTACAGTAGTCCATTCTGCTACTAACAAAACAGTGGATAAGAGTCGCAGCTGCATCCACTGAACGATACTTCCTTATGCGTCTTGTGTTGTGCAAGTGATGGAAAGCAGCACTGCATATTTACTGCATGCGGCCATAGTAAGTTTATCATCGGTTTATCAGTTTATCTATCGGCCATAGTAAGTTTATCA